TCTGTGAGTTCAAGGCCAGTCTGGTCTCCATAGTGAATCCAGGCCAGCTGGGGCTACAGGGAGACCCTGTCTCAAAAAGACCAAATAAAAAATAAATAAATAAATGTATTTTTTAATTTTTTAAAAAAGAAGGAATTTGAATGCAAGTACCCTGCAGGGGTGGACAATTCCCCCAGAAGACATGCTTATTAAATGAAAATCTCAGTGCCAAGTGTGGGATACCTCCCTATAAATTTTTGGTCAGCGAGGCCCCAGAGACCCCCAAAATAATACAGGATTTTGCTGTCCTTCTTGATTATCTACCATAACTAGATGGTAAGACCTTATTTCTGAAGACACACATACTTTTGTTGTAGGGCATAGAGAAATTAGCTGAAAAGATCTGGAAACTTCCTCCCTGCTGGCTAGCTTTCATAGTGCAGGCTTCTAAGGAAGAAAGGTCATCAATGGTCTTACTCAGAGGTAGACCCTGTATGCCACAATACTGACCTGCCAGGCAAGATGTGCCTAATGGTGGGCAACACTTGGCATGACTGTTACAGAGGTAACCAACTGTTTTCTGATAGGATCTGAGAGCTCTTTCACAAGTGGGAATTCATGCCTTGTTCTGTACACTGAGTGTTGTACAGGACTATCCTCCAAGCCAAACAACTGCCATCTTCAGTTCAGCTGTGCCCACTTGCAAAATATCATTACACCTGGGCTTGCTGATTGTTGACCTCCCCTCACAGAAGGAGGTATAGGGAGAATCTTGGAACCCTCACTTGGGTATCCAGTCATTCCTTTCAACATCCTGTATGCAATTCTGCCCAAAATGCATGTAGCGTTGGGGAAGAGCTAATGTAATAAGCTGGGGAAGACTAGCGGAAGGAGGGCTCTATCTATGCAACTATGGGGAAGCCATCATCCATGCTGGGTAAAGACTTTCTGGTGCAATCTTAGGAAGGAGCATTCACATTCCTGTAAATAACTCCTCACCCATTCTCTGTAAGACCAATAAACTCACTGGCCCCCCAGGGTGAACTCTGGTGGAAATGTACCTTGATTGGTAACTGGGAGCTTGGGTGAGAAGGGAAGACGTTGTTTAGGTCTCTACTAGGCAAGGAATTTTAGCAACACCTGGTCAGCAGCCCATGGCTGGGAAGGACAAAGGCCCAATGAGGGAAACTACTACTGTTGTTTTGCTAAATGAAAATGCTGTCAAACTGCCTTCTAAACATATTTATACCCACAGATTAGTGCTGCTCCCAGCTCTGTTCAGAGAAAATTCTTTTTGCAGTGGGCAGCACTTAATGCAGAGACTTGTATCTGGACAAAGTGCTGAGAATAAGTGACTGTTGAGTGCTCAGCCCTAAATGGGACAGATAAATCACGCCTTCCAAGACCCAGGGAACATAGCAGAAGAGGAGACAGAAAGAATTTAAGAGCTGGAGGATGGGGAGGAGAGATGTGAAAAGCTGTTTTCTGCACATGACAGGGTCACTGAACTCTTGAACTCACTGCAGCTATGGTACCTACACAAGACCTGCACAAGACCAAGTCAACATTCCAGCATGGATGTAGGAAGGGCTCATGAGGCCCCAACCCTAGCTAAGGAACTACTGGAAGCTGATGACTACTGGGGTGGTGTGGCATGCTCTAGTGGGTGGCCCCACACTCATGCGCACGTAGGCAGCACTAATTGAACTCAGCTGGTTATTAAAAACCAAAAAGGAGTCAGGCATGGTGGCACATGCCTTTAATCCCACCACTTGTAAGACTGAGGCCAGCCTGGGATGGTCTACATAGTGAGTTCCAGGCCAGCTGGGGCTACATAGTGAGGCCCAAAAAAAAAAAAGAAAAAAAAAAGCCATAAAGAAGAGGACACGAAGGAGGGAGGGTGGATGGTGTGTTGAGAGACCAGGAGGGTGAGGAGGGCACAGCTGGAGTGAATATGAACAAGACAGAGTTTACACATGTATGAAATTGTCAAATAATAAATTTTAAATTCTTTCAAATAAACTGTTTCACATGATTTCGGTCTTTCAAATCTGAGACATCACTTCTCAGGCACTTTCGCCTTGTTACACACTTCCACTTGTTTATCTTCATTGGAACATGTGTCTCTTCCCAGACCACGCACAATTAACCCATCTCATGAGGCATGTGCCCAAGCAGCCTCAGAACCTCCTACCAACCTGCATTAAGCCTCTTTACCCCTAGAAATCAACATTTTCATTCAGATTAAAAAATAATTTGACAGCAGGAAGCTGGCTCAAATGGCAGAGGATGATAACCCAGGGGTTTCCAATGTGACCCACATGTGCCTGGGTGAAGCCCAGATTCAGATAGATAGCTCTGTACACGGCACCAGGGAGGAGGGATGAGTTGCATCGTCCCTTGATACACCTGTCATGAATTTAGCCACAGGTTGTGGGCTAGAACTGGTCTATAGCCTCCAGCTGCCCTTGATGGACACAAAAGAAGTGAATCTGATGTGAGGGTTAACAAACATGCCCTGCCCTGCCCTGGTCTTCCCAGCCTGACCAGTGGTCAACATCCTGAGACCAGAAATAACACTGTAAGAGCCACACCATCAATTTTCTTCTCACAAGTGTCAGCCCAATCCCAGTCTGAGTGACATCATGATAGCTATGTTTTAAAGTGGGGTTATTCCCCTTCCTTTATGAGATTTAATATTTTTATCTTTTGGCTCTGTAAGGCAATTTTCTAAGTTTTGATCTCCGGGATAAGTCTGAATTTGAATGGCTGCATGATTCCATTCCTCTTTTCAACTCACATCTGACATTTTCACATACATTGTACCTGATAAGAACTCTGCTCTCTTGGGCCGGAGAGATGGCTTGGCAGGTAAAAGAGTTTGCTGTGTAAACATGAGAACATGAGTTCAGATTCTCCAAAAATCCACATTTTAAAAAAGCCAGGCATTCCATGTGCACCTATAATCCCAGGGCTATGGGGAGCTGCTGGGGCTTCCTGGCTATCAGCCTAGCTCCAGGGTCAATGAGAGACTCCATCTCAAGGAAATAAGGTGGAGAATGATAGAGCAGGACATCTGACATCCTTTTCTGATGCATAGGGTCATGTACACACACACACACACACACACACACACACACACACACACAGAGGCCTGCCATGAATCCTACCCCTGACTCACCTTCAGGGCCACACTGGGCTGGGTTGCTGATACAGGATGACTTGTAGCTGCCATAGTAGAGGAATGTTACACCCTTCTCTTCCTTGAGGTAAATACCTTTGTTGACCTTCCCTTCTACAATATCTAAGGAAGGAAAAGGACATGCCAGTTACTCTATGCAACTGGAAGCCTGAAGACCTTAGTAAGACCTGAGTCAGACTTACAAGCTGCTGATGAATGAGCATCCAGTATTATTCACCTCCATAACCACAACATTTGTAATGCCACACACTATTCCCTGATGGTAATAGAATTCACTAATATTTAATTATTGATAATGAAAGTGTGAGTGATTTATAAATTTAAGTATTAGCTAATAAATTATTACCTTCTATTAATGTCAGGTCAGCACAGCATACACATTTTAATGTAATGATACTGTAAATGTCATATTTGGGAACAGTTGAGCCACGCACCGAAAGTGACACAATGACAGTCCCCTGCTGTCTTTGGTCCCTCCCACTCCACTTCACCTGTGCTTTCCAAGTGCAAAAGTCAAGTTACATGTGAGGGCACTGCTGAGTTCTGATCTCACTGGGCACTCACTGATATGTTCCCGTCATACACATCCAAAGCCTTGACTTCAGAGTCATTTCCAGACCAGGAAGAAGCCACAGCAACCCCCATCCCCCGCAAAGGCCTGCCAACAGTAATGCCAGAGAGCTGCAAATCTGGGTCTCCAGCTTGACTCACCCAGCCATCTTTTTTTGTCATGTGCATGGCCAACATGTCCAGCAGCATGAGATGGGTGGTTTATGGAGTAGATAAGTTAAGGCAATAGAAACCACAGACAATGGGCTTTTGTTGTGCACTGGAGTGAATGTACTCAGATACTGCTGCTACCTGTATAGGGCTAGGAAGGGGTGGGCATGTGCCCAAAGTATGTGCAGGAGCTGGTAATTCTATTTACATGTGCCACTAGCCAGGTGCAACCTCACCCTCCCTAGGGGCCTCAGTGTTAAATCTGCCAATTCTACTTATCCCATCCTTTACCAGGTCTATATTTTACTCCATTAAATGGATAGCTAACAGCTTAGGGATAACTCCATCAGGCTGCACAGCCCCCCCAAACCAAACAGCTTGCTTAGCAAAATCAATTAGGGAAGCCAAACAATCCACAGTTGAGAGAGAAATCAGGCAATATGCTTGAGAAAAGTGGGAGAGAGGGCTTTCCACCTCCAACAGATGTATTCCGCCATCACTGCCCTCCCTTCCACTCCGAGCTGCCAGTGGCAAGCTCTGGCCACAAGGGCTCTGGGTGTTCTAGACAATTATTTCATCTCATCTGACTCGAATGGGTGTGTCTCCTAAGACAGCTCCTAATGAGTTTTCAGAATGCAGCTGCAGAAATGCTGATGGGATGTTTGTAAGATAAATTTCGGATGAGGTATTTTAAAATCAACTTACAGTTTCCATGAAAACAGCAAGCTTTTCCTCCCCACAAAGAATACAATTTCTGCCAAGCGTGGTGGTACATGCCTGTAATCCCAACACTCAGGAGGCAGAGGCAGGAGGATCCGGAATTCAAAGTCATCCTCAGCTATACAATGAGTTTGAAGCCAGCCTAGGGCTACATGATACCTTGTCTCAAAAAAATTTAAGAAAGATCTTGGTTGTGGTTAGTTTTGTTCTGAAATCAAGCAACTGGTTCAGAAGAGCCGGGCAGTGTGGAAGTGCCTTCTCTACTTCTAGACGTGACAATGAAAGGGCCTCCTAAGCCAGAACCTCCGAGTGGCTTTCTCAGCATCCTGCTTCTCTCTTAGCTTACACTCAACGACCCACTCCTTTACCAGTAAGAGAGTCCTAGAGAACTGGATCAGAGGACCCTTGACTTCACTGTGATCCAGACTTGACAGGACCAAGCCCGAGTGCTCACCTACAGTCGCAGAGAAGTTGGAGTAGGCTGAGCCATTGGAATAAACAAAGGTAGCATTGTGGGAGGGAGGCACAGTGAGGTTGTGGGTTCGAAATGCTGGGTGAAACGACAAAAGAGACAACGCGTGAGTGACACGAGAAACATGGAAACAGCACATCTCTCAACCCAGGACTGGGATGGCCCCTCAGCCTGCCTCCCCTTCCCGCAGCCTCTTCTACTCACAGGTTTATTTAGCAGACTGAGTGGCTGGCTCCAATGGCCCCTTGAGGGCCAGTGGGTCCCACCTAGGGCACAATTTAGCAGACAAGGGTCCAATTTGCTGATTCCCACTCCCACACAGATGCTTAGTTGAGAGATGTTGAACTCAGCCATTTATGAAATAGCAGTAACAAAAAGATGAATGGTTACAATATCACAAAAAAGACAAGATAGAAATACCACGACAACTGCATGAAATGATGACAAATGGACAAGACAACAGTGGTTCACCACAGACAAGGGCTGTTCAGCTAGGAGGTGGTATCCAGATCATCTACCTGGCCCCAGCTATAGGTCACTGATAGATTACAGCCTTTCCTTGTCCCAGTGGGCACTGCCCTCACAGAGGGGCAGCAACAGGAAGTCACAGTGCACTGCCACACTGTACAGTGTGGGGACAGAAGCACTAAAAGTTTCACAAGTCAATGCACTCAGTCCTTGTCATGTGTCTGAGTGACTAAGGCACTTTATAAAAGGTGTTCTTCAGAGGTGAAAGTGTTCAGAACAGCTGGGCGTGGTGGCACATGCCTTTAATCCCAGCACTTGGGAGGCAGAGGCAGGTGGATCTTTGTGAGTCCGAGGCCAGCCTGGTCTACACAGTGAGTTCCAGGACAGCTGGGGCTACAGGGAGACCCTGTCTCAAAAAGACAAAAAAAAAAGTGTTCAGAACACCATGGGCTACTGACTTAATCAAGAGTCATGTGCTCAGATGGGAGAGTGAGGAGGTAAATACATGGGCAAACATCCTGGTTCCTGCTTGAAATAACGCCTCTAATGTTAGCTGTGGGGTCCTGAACAATGAACTTTCACTTAGCCAGGCAATTGCCCCTCAGGGGTTTCAAAATAAAGACTTTGAGAAAAGGAAATTAGATTATGACAAGAGCAAGTGGTCTGTTTTCCCCTGTCCTGCCGCCAGCTGGCTCAGGGTGCTCTCACCCCAACTGCAGCAGAGTAGAGAAAAACTCTTGGCTGCAATGCAGTCTGCAGAGGTCACTGTGTCTTGCCACACAGGAGAACCCTGGAGCCTCACTGAGGACAGAGGAGCTGCACAGTCAGACTGGGCCCTTCTCAGAACCCCCACCTCTACTACCAGCTCCAGGATGCCAGATCTGGGGCTGCTAGACTCAAAAGCTTTTTGGTTTTGAATTTTTAAAAAAATTTTGGATTTAGCCAGGTGCAGTGGCGCATGCCTTTAATCCCAGCGCTTGGGAGGGAGAGGCAGGCGAATCTCTGTGAGTTCAAGGCCAGCCTGGTCTACATAGTGAGTTCTAGGACAGCTGGGGCTACAGGGAGACACTGTCTCAAAAAGACAAAAAAA